ACTTTGATGGCGACAGCTCAAACATGAGAGGTTGAGCTTTATTAGCTCCACCTTGTGGAAATTCCGGATACTATTATTTTGCTTGCGGTAACTAGCGGTGAATTTACGGTAACTAGCGGTATTTACCAGTGACTCCCGGTAGACTGAGTAAAGCGCACTGCAAAATTTATTTTATTCTCGCTCATGTTCATTGGATCAATTCAGAAAATGCATTTTATGCATTTGTGACAATCCCTTTGTAATCTCCAGTGTTTCTACATTTTGTTTTATTTTTTTAGCAATCTAGTTGCTTTGTATTTTATCCAAGAGGGTAATATCCTGAATATTGAAAAATATCTTCTTTCTATAAGTCTTGAATATATAACAATGATGCACATGAAAGAGAATAAATTATTAATTCCTTGATAATGTAATGTGATATCTCCTGTAATAAATAATGAGAGGTATATTGGTAGAGAAATAATAAAATATTTTGCAATAGAAGTTCTTATAAAAACAGTAGGAAGAGTCAAGGTATGTTTTTGAGAGAAGGCTGTGATTTCTCTTTCTTCAGTACATCAGCTCTGCTAACAAAAGGAAATGCAGATTTTAAAATTATGAATGGCTGTACATTATTTTTTAAACTCGGATTCTGAAGGTGTGAAAATGGCTGCTGATCCTTCTTAAAACTCTTATTGAATGATCTATATACCTTTAAACCACAATGTTTATTAAACTTCAGAGAAATCCTTTCTTTCATTTTGAGGATTATTCTGTAACAATTCCACCTGATAACAAGTACAGTATGCAAAAACCTGTCGCTCTGACAATTTAATTCAGTGTATAAAAATGTATGCTCATGTAAGAAATCCTCTAACCATCAGAATGCTCTAACCATCTGCTCTAGCCATCAATAAATAATATAGAAAAAATAAATTAGTAAATATACATAAGTATTTCTTTTTTTTAACCTGTTATATAAGACTTAATTAATAAGTTCTGTCATCTTAAGGATTCTGTTTGAAATTGGGTGTTTGGATTTTTCCTCTTATTTATATGGGTTTTCTCTGGTAACTTAAATTTCTTTATGAATGCCCTATTATGGGTTGAAGTACTATTTATATTGTATATCCACCTTTTGCCCTGCATCTGCCAGGTAAAGCTGGGATCTGCTAAGAATAAAACAGTTGCTGAAGATGGATACATTCTCTCTCTATGAATGCCAGTCAGTTACATTGTTCTCTGTGGTAATAAGTCAAGCTTTCTGTAAAAGTTTACTTTACTTGAATAATAACTTTTGTTGCTTTTGTTCCTAATTGTGTAAAGGTGACATGAGTAATTTCCAGTGATTTGAGCAATGCAGAGCTTAGCAATGATTCATTCAATCTCGATTTTCAAAAGCAAGCTGAAACATAAAATACATTTCAAATTCTGTTTTTCTTAAATTTGTTTTTGCATTTAACTGATCTTTGGAAAATAAGGAATGCTGTTATACATACTGACTACATAAGAAAGGTTGCAATCAAGAAGAGGCATTTCTAGGGTGTTTCCTTCAGATAATGCAGTCAAAGTATCATAATTACTGTACCTTTTTCTCTGCATCTTAGTAAGACCAGAAGTAGCATCACTGTTGTAATACAAAGCCCTCCAGTTCGTGCCCAAGACAGCCAGAAGAAAAGTTTTATCTGTTCATCACACTGCACACAGCCTGCAACACCAGAGACACTATACACATAAGTACTTATGGACATGAAATACAGAAGTACAGATAGACAGAAAGATTAATACAATCCTTTTAAAGCTATCACATTGTTGCCTTACTGAAGTCAGTTTCCTCACCTGTCATGTCTGTTTGTGTTGTATTAGTGGAGCCCAGGCATCTTCCAGTTCCTGCAGTGTGGCAGGGAGCTCCACCAGATATGATGGGATTCTGGGAGACCATCTCCCTGTGTGTCACACACTGCATACACAGCTGCTGTCCTGTGTGCTCAGACACACACACTGCCTCACACACACTACTCCTGGACTCACCCTCTGAAGCACAGAACAACATGCATTGTTTTTTTCATTATTTACTACTGAAGCATTTTTTTTCCCAAATATCAAAATGTTATGCAAATAATAATGCCAATAAAGCTTCCTACATATTACAATGCATAATCAGCTCAAGCATTGTTTAGAACTGTGACAATTTATGCTACTTGCATTTCCTCTCTTCAGAATATACCTTTTCTCTTCATTAAATGCTGTATAATTATGCAGGATTGTGTGATAATATAATACCTGTCAAAAGAAGTGCAGTTCCATTCCCAAAAAGCACGTCACTGTAGGTCACAGCTCCACAGTAATATGTGGCCATGTCTGAGGGCCTCACCTGGGAAATACTCAAAATGAAGCGACTGCTTTCTTTCCTTACTGTGAAACGGGGATTGTTTTCAAATTCATCATAAAAAGTGACTCTATCTGTATTCCCATAGGCAGTCGCTATGTATCTAGGAGGCTGACCCACAAACTGTTTGAACCAAATCCAGTTTATGAGACGGGTAGTGACAATAGTACACTCCAGGGTGACAAGATCTCCGCTCTGTGTTGTCACTGAGAGATGGGGCTGGACAACCACATCCTGAGGAAATATACCTGAAAAATACACAGCAACATTACAATTAAAAGAAGACAACCTTTTATTTCAATGACCAGCTTAAACAGCATTTTTAGTTCCCAGTAAGAATAATTGTAATAAGTTTACTGCAGTGGGAGAATCCCACATGTGAACTGTAAGGATTACCTGCTGTGAGGTAAAAGATACCCAGCAGGAGAAGAGAGATCATTCTGTCTCCCCCTGTAACTTTGTGGCGATTTGTGACCCTTGAGCAGTAAGAGAAGAGTGACAGGTTTCAGTTTTGAGAGTGGCTGTTGTCCACAAGTTATGTAAGAACCTGAAATCTAACTGGCTGCTGTGCACTGCCCCTTCTCAACCTGACCTTTACCTAATGCCTTGGTGGTTTTCTCAAACGCTTTTTGTTCTGCATTTTAGCAAAACCTTAAATCTCTATTCTATGTTCCATGTTCCACCTAATGGATAATTTATTTTAAAAAGAACTAAAAAGATTTAATTGCATTTATTTCAATATTGCATTTCTAAGCTTTTAAAAAATCAAATATTTTTTTTAACACACAGGCCCACAGCTTTTCACACTTTGTATATTATACAAAGAGGGGCAGCTTTTTCTGTCTTCATAGTGCCAAATGTGAAAAAAAATGTATCACTGACGTCAAACCCCAGACCACTGAAAGCACATTTAGAAAACTGTTTATTAATTAATATACTTCATTAAGATATAAATAATCAGTATTGTCCTGTTATCTTACTGTAATATTCCAATTATGTTAGGGAACTTAATGTAACTGTGCCGAATCTTTGGTATGCATCCTGTTTATATAGGGTAAATGTATATGTAGTTATTGATTTTTTATAAAAGGTATATTATTAAACAACCATAAAATGTATCACAAAAAAAATCAAATTGATGAACATCAAAGTCTTAAAGATTTGTAAAAGGATTTAGATTTTTTACAAAATAAGTTATTTTAAATAGTGCTGTATTTTAAATGCAGTATTTATTATCTAATATCCTTATTATTTGTGGCTGTTTGTCACATCTTGTTTTCTCAAATTTATTGTTGAATCAAGACACAACAGTTAAGACAATATTCCTACAGTTTTTACATGTTTCCCTCAAAATGTTTCTGTTTCTAGGCCATCAAAAATTTTCATGACATTGGTCCTGTGGTGCTTGTGCAGGTAGGTTTGCATAATGTGCTGCTGGTGCAAATTGATTTATTGTGCATTTAATCGGCATGAATTACGTTAACATAAAACACCGGTAAAATACACTCAAATTAATTACAAAAGAATCAGATCTTCTTGTTCTTTCACAGGAAGCTGGCTAGCTACTTCCTGTCTAGTTACTTCCTGTCCACCGCTTGACCCACCACATGATTGAACAGTACACTAGAAACCCTGCAGACTAGGTGGTGAGAGTGGATAAGAAAAAAAAAATCACATTGGCATAATGTTAATTATATTGGGAGACTCTGCAGCTACTGTTAAATGTAAGACATTCTGTGTTTTTACTTATGTCAGTGCAGCTTATAGAAGCCACATAAAAATGATGCGTACTCTGACAACCCTGTATAGAACTGGTGCTATGTATAATCCTTCTGGAAAATCCAGAGGCTCATTGCACCTATCTTATTTTACCTCTGCACTTTATTAGTCAGTTATATTGTCACTGTTCAGCATGGAAACAATAGATTTTCAAGACGTCTGCATGAAAAAAATTCTAGATTAAATTCTACGGTGATTCTCATAAATGTATTGCAACAGAATTGGGAAATGATTTACAATAAGTGCATTTTTCATGTAGGTTCACAGAATGTGATTTGCTGTGAATCCATTATAAGTAGAGATTTATTCTTTTGAGATAAACACAAATTGCTAATAAATTATATTAAAACATGCAAACAGACTGTGGATACCTGAAGCTGAACACTGCTCCCCACTATCTTCTGAAGTATAGCATACTTACTGTGCTTTCTTTTTAGCTTATTTACACCAGCTGAAATCAGAGAAACTAACTTAATTTAAACTAACTAAATATTTCAAAACTTTAACAGATCTGCTCCTTTACAATATCCTTCAATAGTCCTGACCTGCTTAATTTTAGATTGTAAATATGGAATTACTTAAGTAAGATATATTACCTTATTATGCAAAGCCTGTATCATAGCACAGTGCCAATATTTACTGCTACCTGCAGTGTGAGTTGTATTAGCAGAGCCTGGGAGCTGGGACACGCAGTTTGCTTCACAAATACTATTACTGGACTGAAACAGGAGAAAGACCCTAATTACTTCATTCCATAATCCTGGGAAAACCTGGGTGAACAATGGTCTGATTTTCTAGTAATGCAGGATGTTTGTGATGACAAACTCATATGCGAATTTGTAAAAGAAAAAAATATCATACTCTTTCCTTACCATTATTAACATCAAAGACACTCTACATTTCTAACTCTGGTGTCAAAATCTGCAAGCTGTATAACTCTGTTATATCCTTTTGTATTGTACAAAAGAGGCCATCAGACATAAATGCTTAGTTTTGTCATCAGAAATCATTGTTAGTTTGGTTTTCATCTAACTAAAGAACAGAGAGTCACGAAGTGTTCATTTGTTTATACTGTACAATGAACTCATGATAATTTCTTTCTTGATGGAAATTTCAAGTTCTGCTTTTACACATTATTTAAGCTGCCTTAAATTAACCCAAGCTCACGTTGCTGACCTAATATTTCAGGAGATCTTGAACCACAAAAATAGTGTGGTGTTTTGGCAGATCATTATTTTAACATTTTTTAGGGGTTTCTGATGGTTCAGGTTAAAAAAAAATGTATTTTCCTGAGGTGCTGTAAATGAAGATGACAAAGAAACTGAATTACTCTGTGTTAGGAATTCCACTTGCAGTAGAATAATTTACCACTCAAACAAGCAGCAGACAAAAGATACAGTCATCGCTGAGGATATGGAATGTATTTGGATCAATTCAATTTAATTCAAGCTTTATTGTCCCCTGGAGGAAATTTGTGTTATGGCACAGTCAAACACAACACATTGACAAATAAACATCACCAAAAGGGAAGAGAATACATTAGTGTTACAGGAGATAAGAAACAAAAGGTAGTTACTTTGCATTATTTGCATTACTTAAGAGTGTAATTAAATTGGGAATGAAAGATTTCCTGAGTATGTTGGTTTTACACCTGGGGACACAGAGGTGTCTCCCAGATGAGAGAAATGTGAAATCACAATGGAGGGGGTGAGACACACACTCCATAATGTTTTTGGCTTTCTTAGTCACCCTCTGTTTGTAAAGGATACTTAAGTTGATTTAATTATTCTTTATTATTTTGCCACTTATATTCACTTATTTTTCCAGCCTATTACAATTATCGGTACTTATGCTGCCAAACCAGCAAGTGAAGCAGCATGTTAAGACATTTTCAATGAATGATTTGTAGAAAAGTGTAAGAATAGTTTTATCGATCTTAAAGTAGCTGTGTTTCCTAAGAAAGAAGAGTCTCTGTTGGCCTTTTTATAGATAGTATCACAACATTTTTCCCATTTTAGGTTTTTGTCAATGACCAGTCCCAAGTACTCATAGTCATCGACAATTTCAACAGGCTGACCATCAATTATAGTGGATTGAGGGGGTGTGGTATTTTTCCTAAAATCAGTAACCAGTTCCTTTGTTTTTGAAACATTTAACTTTACGAAGGACTTGTTGCACCAGTTAGTAAAATCATTTAGAATGGGACCATGATGGTATTCTGTGTCCTTTTAATAAACTGACCAGGGCTGTGTCATAAGCAAACTTAATGAGATGTCAATCTGTGTGTTTGCTTCATTAAATGAATATATCTTCAATACACTATAGTATTTCTTACTAAATTCTGTGACATAACTTGTCAGCATGATGTTGAATTAATTGAATAAGCATCAATTATATAAATGTTAAAACACTGTAAGAATAAACTCAAATGAATTACAAAAGAAGCAGAGCTTCTCATTCTTTAATGGGAAACAAACTGGCTACTACTTGTGTGCTGCTTGATCCACCACATGGTTGAACGGTACCCAACTGACTCTGCAGAATTAGTGGTGAAAGTGGAATGGAAAGAAATTATTTCTTATTACCATAATATTGATGATTTTGGGATACCCTGTAGGTGCTTTTAATTGCAAGAAACATTATTTATCTCAGTGCAGCTTCTAAAATCTATGTGTAATTGTTACATATTCTGCCAGTTTTGTCCAGAAGTACTACCTCTGTATAATTCTTCTGGGGAACAGAGACTCATAGTACCTATCTTATTTTACCTGTGCACTTTTTAGTTAGATATATAGTCACTGTTCCGCATGGAATCATATTAACTTTTTGCTTTGCTCTTCCAGAAATATACTTGTTAAATAGATTAATGTTTGTACCTAAATATACTTTGCTTAAAAAGACTGTGTTTAGTCTCATACAGTAAATGTAAAAAAAAAAATTAAATGGTAACAACATCAATATTTATATCCCGCTTGAGACACTTGAGAGAATTATTACCATAACTGTGTTTTATTCATGAACAGCCAGATTTGGTACTGGAAAAAGTATAATACATTTTATTAGCACTATTATAAACACCATAGAACTCTGCACAACAGTCTACAGATAAAACACAAAACAAAAATTACAATCAATCAAGAAAACTCTAAAATTCTCAAATTAAAAGCTAAAGGAAGGATATAAACAATGTATTAAAGTTTAAAAAGTCTACAGCTACAATGTATCTTATGGATTTAAGCAACTGTACTATGGTATTTTTATATCATATCCTATTCTTTATTGTTTCTTGATGCTTTATAGCTGGTGTCATGATTTTACCACGTTTACAATTTCTGAAGTAATGTACTTTACTTACTGATTTTACTAAAGTTTACCACAGTAAGCATCCATTAACAAATGCATAACCTCAGCCAGTATTTTAATCTAATAGGATTAAGGTTTTTTTCACCACAACATTGGTCCCCTCAAGTTTGGGACTGGAAAAGGCATTTGTCAGAACTATGAAACAGACGTTTCTTGGACATTCCCAAAGTGGAGATAACAACAACGAAACCAGCAAAGAAAGAGATTAGGTGAGATGTATAACAAATTTTAATTGCTTAGTATATATATATAAATCATTGTTTAAAATGAGTAACTATTGTGACTGATATACAAGACTGTACATGAAGAAATGCATAGAAAAGGTCAAAATGCTG